TATATATATATATTGTGACTTAAAAATATGTATGCTTTGTATGGTCTTTCATTTGTGTAGTCTTATAGGTTCATTATGTCTTCTCTTATAAGACTTTAGTCTTAGATCCCTATATATACATATTTGAGGATCATTGATAATATGATGAAACTCATACATGCTTGTTTATCTTATGGTTTTAAACAATTCAATTTGAGAATCAAATTCATACAATGAAGCATTTCGCAGTTAAATGAGAAAATGTTCCTTCTAATCAACCATAAGACATAGATGTAGCTTATCTTAGTAGTACCATAGAGATGGAGAGAGAGAAAGAGAAACACAGAAATTGGAATGTCAATTATATTGTATTTTGATTAGTACATATAAATTAATGTTTCAATTTGAAAAGGTTCCAAAAAAGAGAAAAAATGTTTAGTAATGACAAAAAAAAAGTAAAGTAGAATGGAAACAAATTATCATGCAAAAGGTACAAGGAATGAAAGACCATGTGGATGTTGAACCCTGCCTAAAATATGTTTAATAATGACAAACTTTTAGTTTAAAATTTTAATATAGAAGGCTTCTCATGAAGTACTAACAATTTTTTTCAAGTATTTCATAATCATTTCTCTATGTAATCAGAAGTTAGTGTAAGCTTAGTAGTTCAAAAGTTTCACCAAATATCATTCAATTTGTTTGAACTATCATTTGGCTCCAAGGTTTTGGTTGTCCTAAAGCAAAATGAGCATACTGTCTCTGATGAAAGAGGTTCAAGATAAACATTTCCTCTAAGGGGAAATGCCTTGAAGCCTTGGCTTAGAAGACCAGTTCTTTGAAACATCTATTAAAAGGTCTTAGTTAAAATACAACTTCTCAAAAAACTTATACTAAAGACACTACTTAAAAGGTTTAAAGAGAAGATCTGCTCAGAAGGTAACATCATCTGAAGAAAAAGCTGATAGTACCAGAAAAGGAAAGTATAATGAGGTCAACATTGCTTAAAAACTAAGCTACCCATAATGGACCTAGTTTAGTGGCTATAAAAGGAAGACCAAGGCTAAGGTTTTAAAACAAGCAAGATAAAAGAGAGTAGTCAAAATACAAGCTATCATAACTGTAATCTTTGCTTCATACTTTAATTATTCAGAGATTTTCACTTTAATATTTGTATTAATCTTGTAATAGAAAAATAAAGTGTAAATCTTTCTTAGTGGAAGCTCTACCTTAGGAGAGTTTATTGTAACTTTAGCAGAATGTTAAGGTACAAAAACCCATTTATGTAAAGAACCTTTTCTACCCACTTAAAATGCTCAGTTATGTTGTAAGAGATCTTCTAAGTTGAAATGTGTGACAATGCATAATGATGTTGAGTTGCTTTCTATGTTGTTAAGTCATTTACTATGATGTTGAGATGTATAATTGTGTTTAAAAAGTATTAATTTTACTTAAAGAATTCTTTTGACACTTATTTGACTAAGTTTAAAAGGAAAATTTATTTCTAATCCCAAAAATATTGTGAAAATCAAAAGGATGTGTAAATTAGTTAGTTTGAAGAGTTGATGATTTTTATGGACTATGTAACCCTATTTCCTTGTAGAATTGATCAAGTCTTAAGACCTTAAAAAGTATGGAAATCGCTCAACCAATTGGATTCTGCTACGCAAAATGAATAAATATGAAGGAGAGCTTTTGCCAGATTTGGCTTAGCCAAATCTTAAGAGCCTGAGCAGATTTGAGTTAGAGAGTAAAGGAAATTTGCTAATGGGAAATCCACTCAGTTAAATCAGAAAGGGCTAAGCAAATTTGACCTAGAGAAATTGGAGAAAGAGAAAGAGAGAGAGAGAGAGAGCGAGAGAGAGAGAGAGAGAAAGAAAGAAAGAAAGGGTATCATAGATTAGACAAATAGAGAATGAAGAATGGAAGAAAGGAGAAAGCTTCAAGACCTCCAGGGACAAAAGATAAAGGGTTCAACTCCTTTTCGTATGTTCTTATTGTAAACGAGATTGCTCTCACTATCATGAGTAGCTAATCTTCTTATTTGTTGGGATTGAATGTAATCTATCAAACTCTTCAATAATATTTTTGATTTGTATATATATATTTTCCTGTTACTCAGTGTCAATGATTTGATTTTGTGTTTAATGCTTGAGATTAATTGATCACTCATCTTTTGATTTGAGATTTAGATTTTGATTGTAAAATAATTTCTAAATCTGATTTAAATCAAATCACCTAATGATTCTAAATGCTAGGAATAGATTTAGAGTTAGTTAATCAAATTATTGAACATAGGAATTGGTTATTAATCAAATGGTAAACTAAGGAATTGATTATTAAACTAGGATCCTTAGGATTTCCAAAGGCAAGGAATTGATTTGAAATGATTTTAAAAATTCAATAACACTAAATGATAGAAATCATATGCAAATAATCTTAAGAGTGCATAAGAATGTAATACATGAAATTCAATT